GGATGCAACACACAGCTTCAACCACTGCTCCTTCAGGGAAAACAGACAGCCCTCCACCCATTACGAATCCTACCGGGAATGATAGCGGTACCACCCTGGCCAAGAGCAGCAGCAATCCTTCAACTAGCAAAAATACTATTGACAGCAGTTCTACTACCCTTTCCATTAGCAAATCTAGTAAGTCAAAGAGTACTAGTAGCCCTTTGTCTATTATAACTAGTTCTTTAAAGAGTACTAGAAGTGTTTCCTCTATAAAAACTACCACTGCCAAGAGTACTGGCAGCACTTTCACTACCAAAACTAGTACTGGTAAGAGTACAAGCAGCCTTTCCAATATGAAAACTACTTCTGCCAACAGTACTAGTAGCTTTTCTACTGCCAAGAGTACAACTATCCATTCCACTGCCAAAACTACTACTCCCAGCAGTACAAGGAGCCCTTCCACTATTAAAACTACTCCTGCCAGAGATACTAGCAGACCTTCAACTACCAAAACTACTACTGCTAAGAGTACTAGTAGCCCTTCCACTCCCAAAACTAGTACTGCCAAGAGTACAAGCAGCTCTTTCACTATTAAAACTACTCCTGCCAAGAGTACTAAAAGTTCTTCCACTGCCAAAACTACTACTGCCAGGAGTACTAGCAGACCTTCAGCTATCAAAACTACTACTGCTACGAGTACTAGTAGCCCTTCTACTACCCAAACTACTACTTCTAAGAATACTAGTAGCCCTTCCACTCCAAAAACTATTACTGCCAAGAGTACAAGCAGCTCTTCCACTATTAAAACTACTCCTGCCAAGAGTACTAAAAGTCCTTCCACTGCCAAAACTACTACTGCCAGGAGTACTAGCAGACCTTCAGCTATCAAAACTACTACTGCTAAGAGTACTAGTAGCCCTTCCACTCCCAAAACTATTACTGCCAAGAGTACAAGCAGCTCTTTCACTATTAAAACTACTCCTGCCAAGAGTACTAAAAGTCCTTCCACTCCCAAAACTACTACTGCCAAGAGTACGAGCAGTCCTTCCACTCCCAAAACTA